ATGCCCCCCATACCCCACCTGTGGGCATGAGATGGGTCTACATTTTTATAATGGGGTTAGCCAGTTCATGGTTCACCCCCTTACCTCACCCCTGGCCATGAAATTCTCACGTTTTGCAATTCTGAAAGTCATAAAAAAATGTAAATATATTAGCAATTTTTTTAATATATATTTAGAATTTGAATTGATTTGTTTTCAGCCAACCAAACCCTGAGCTGACAGATGGTATTGATTATGCTCCACATGGACAATACATGCTTAGTCCATGTTGGGTAAATGCCACCCCCCTCTTTGCAAACCACCTGCCAGGAAAATGAAAGAGCAATGTGTTGGCCACAAGTTCAATTACCCACCATCTGGATACCACTTGGGGCTATAGCAGTTGACTTCTTACAGCTACACTGATTCATTTAGAAATGAGGAGCATATACATAAGATGACCACAAATGAATTAAACATACTCTATGTATGATTTAAATAATTTGCATGATTAGGAGATATAAAAACTGTGTTTCAAAACAGCATGTCATTACTAAGGAAATTTGGGCTGGAAATATACAGAGTATTCAGCATATTCAACCTAGACATAGATAGATAGATAGATAGATAGACAGAGTTGCACATTTTAAATTTTTCATGATACAATGTTACCTAAAAGAATACATTTGACTGAGTATATCATCACTAGACACCCTTCTGGTAATCAAGGAACTGACATCATAATACAGTGAATAATAATCTTAAAACAAACACAACAATCATCCTATTGAATAGATACACAATTACACCAAGTTATCCAAATGTATTTACTGCCTAACGGAAAGCATTCATTTGACATGCATGGTGACTCATTTATTGTTTAAAGGAACAATCCGTGAGTGTCCCGTCACCCTCTCATTGTACATAGTCAAACCAGTTACAAATTTATTTTAACTCACCAGGGGTCCACCGTCTATCAGACTCTCCCTATAGTTTAAAACAACAGTTTCAAAGAGATTTGTAAGTTTTTCTCCAGATTACAAACTACTATTAGAATATTTATACTGCAATATGTTTGTTAATCCCTTGCTAATAATTTGTTTCTAATTTCTCTCAAATGATGTTTAATTATTTGAATAACTTCACCTTTAACTTTTACATACTGCAATTCATGCAGTTTATGCGATTTTGAATGGCATAACTTTCAATACGGAGTCATTGCTAGCACAATATAGCCCATCCAATATTATCTCCTTTTGGCAATCTCTATAAGGCATGTTTAGAGACATCATTCACAAATCTTATCAGAATCGTATACAACTGACATATCAATGCATTTAAAGAAGCAACAATCGCTTTGAAAAATGTAATGAAAGGCTTGAACACAACAAAAAGAGCTTGATTTTTTGCTCATTCTCTCCTGGCAAAATTGGGCGGTTAGCTTTGCCAAACATTGAAATTATTTTCGACTTCATATTTGCTCCTTTTTTTCATCTTCTCTTTGTTTTCCCAAAAGACAAACTCAGACAGATGCACTGAACAAGAGACAGCAATAGATAGAATTTCCATATCAATAAATGTTCTTTCAAAGCTCTTAAAACTTCAATAAGGCTTCCAATTTCCTAAACAGGTTTAATAGTTTGAGTAAAAATTATATAATAAGTGCAGGACAAAAACATATTGTTAGCCTTAGTATTAATAAGAAATTATGTTATTTTACAGAGAGGTTTGATGTAAACTGCCTGCACTTCAGAAAAGATTATATTTCTTTTGTATCTTCTACATTTGAATTACAGTCAATAAGTAGAACCTATATAGAACACTAAATGACATCATAAAACAGTTTATCAAAAAAATGAGAAATTTATTTTGAAGAAAATTATATATTTACTGGCTGAAAGACGCTTATTGTGTGACCTGAAACTAGGCCATCAGTGTATTCCAACGTAAGTATTTGAATTAAATGGAATTTTTAGGTTGGTTATTACTAAGCTTCTGTTACATAACAAATAACATCATCAAATAGTCTGAAAATCGGTCATATAAAAAAAGAGGATATTTTGTTTTTTAACCCGTTACCAACAGCACTTGAAGCTCATTGGGGAAAATACAAAGTAGCCAATAGAAAAAAAAAGAGTTTAAATGTACCCCAAATAATTATTTTGTTATCTGTCTGTACGTTATAAGAAGAATTGTCAGGTTTAGTGAGCAAGAAAAATAAATAAATAAATGTAAATTTAAAAAAATAAATAAATAACCGATGAGGCATTTTGTGGAGATGGGGCCAAACTTAGGTGTCAGGCCATTCAAAAAATAGATAAAATTAAACTTGGGTTTACCAGAACTGAAACCTTAAATCAATGTGAATTATGTAATTATGTTCTGGGTATGTTATTCCCACAATTCCCACCTTTAGATGATTAATTTTTATGGTCTACGACCTTTGGACCTATGAGTGGGACTCTGTCTGTTATATGCTAATACTTTACATATTGTTATTACAAATACTTTGTCCATATTGATTGTGTTGTTTTAGAACAACTTATGACATATGGGATAGCTATATCACTACCCCACCTGTGTGTATATTATGTGTTTAAATTGTTTTAATTTGTTTTATCTATTTTTAATGGTAGTGATCATTTGGACCACAAAACGTTTTTGTTTGGTGCCTTGGGGATAAAACGTGATTCAAAATGCCTTGACATAGAAGTGACTTAAATACGTTTGTCCTGTACGCTTGGTTTATCAAATTGTTGTTTCGATTTTTTAAGCATCATCAATGGAGTCTGTAATTTGAATGGATCAGCCTGTCAACATTGCCCTGATTGTAATATTAGATTTGTACATACCGTTTCAAACAAATTTAGGTTCGTCTGAATTTTGGGCATTTGTCAAATAGTCCAAAATTCATACCTCTGAATCACCATATGACAGTGTTAAGGATCAAATCAAGTGTTTGATAATTTTGTATATCTGCCCCTTTCCAAATTGAATTAGATGGGTGCACGCTCCCAAAATTAATTCACACCAGACACAAGTTTCAGGTTAATGAAAAACTTGAGGAATGTTTAATCCAGGGGGCTAGTATGCCCCTTATAAAGCAGAAATACATCATATGCATAATTATAGATAACATACATCAACAATTGGTTAGGTGTTAAGTGGCTCATCTAATGCACAGCCTACATGGTGTGATGTCACTGTCATCATGCAGTGCTCTTCCACATTCCAGCGCCATCTTGTTAAATTGGGTGGTTACTCGATGGGAGGGGGATTAGAGGGGGAGCAGTTACTGAACATAGGAGGGGAGGGGTAACTCCTAGCAGCCAGTTTGAACAGGAGGGGAGGGGTTGGAGGGGAAGCAGTTACTTTAGCAGCCAGGTTAATACAGTGAATAATGAGCACAGATGCACAGAGTAAATAGACATTTTACTAAAGTTAATATTCGGTCCTGGGCCGGTGCAAAGAATTTCGGGTACATAGGCGAAGATGCATTTTTCCGCCCCCCAAAAACGTATTCGCCCATGTGCCTCTTAACCTCCCTTTTATGTTTCTTATCCCGTCTTTTAAATATCTGACTCCCTTTAGTATATTTTATCTCCTATTTTGCCTTTGTGTGTCTCCTATCTCTCCTCTTTGTATGACTCTTACATCCTCCAACATTTTGTGTCTTACTCCTCCCAGCCCCTTTGTGTGACTCCTTTTCTCCCAGCCCCTTTGTGTGTCTCTTTCCTTCTCTAGCCCCGCTGTGTGTTCTTTTACATCCAGCCCCTCTCCCTGTCCCTTAATGGTCCCCTCCCTTCTCTGACCCTTACTGTTCCTCTCCCCTCTCTCCTCCTTTCCCTGTTCCTCAGTGTTCCTTTCCCTTCCCCCCTCCTTTCCCTGTCCCTTAGTGTTCCTCTCCCCTCCCCCCTCTGTTCCCTGTCGCTTAGTGTTCCTCTCCCCCCCTCCCTCCTTTTCCTGTACCTTAGGGTATCTCTCCCCTCCTCTCCCTGTCCCTTGGTGAGCCACCCACCCCCATAGTGGTCCCCTCCCCTTCCTGGTGTGCCTCCTACCTTTCTTGTAGCGTGGCTGAGCGGGGCGAATCCCGGTACAGTGAGCTTTTCCTGACAGTCCTGCTAGGTACAGGAAACAGAAGTTCCTGTACCACGGTACACTCCGCTTGGCCACACTACAGTCAGGGGTGTAGAAACACTGACAGTCACACGCACTCAATGACAAACACACAGACATCTCTGACAGCCAGACTCACTTATCTGACACACTCATTCATTGACAGACACTCACGCGCACACTGACAGACACACAAACACTGACAGACTCATAGACAAACACACACTGACACACACACACACACACTCACAGACACTGACAGACACACGTACTCACATGCACACATGTACATACTGACAGACACACTCACTCACACATATACACTGACAGAACCACACACATATTCACATGTACACACACACACACACACACACACATACTGACAGACACACTCACACACACTCACTCACACATTGACAGACACACATACACACACACACTGACAGACACACTCACACACACACTGACAGACACACATACTCACATACACACTCACACACTGACAGACACACATACACACACACTGACAGACACACTCACACATACACTGACAGACACACATGCTCACATACACACTCACTCACACACTGACAGACACACATACACACACACACTGACAGACACACTCACACACACACTGACAGACACACATACTCACATACACACTCACTCACACACTGACAGATACACACACACTGACAGACACACTCACACACACACTGACAGACACACATACTCACACACACACTACACACACACACTCACAGTAATTAATAATCTAAATTAAATTAAAATTTCCCACCCAGCCTCCCTACCTGGAGAGCTGGCGTGGGTCTCTCATTGGTGGTCCAGTGGGGCTGCTGGGAGGCGTGCGGCTGAATTGGATTCCGAGGTGGAGAGGGAGCTCTGATCTCTCTGATCTGCTCCCTCACAGGCTGTTTACTGATGACGTCATATTCGGCTCCCGCGGCATCAGTAAACAGCCTGCGAGGGAGCACATCAGAGAGATCAGAGCTCCCTCACTGCCTCGGAATCCAATTCAGCCGCACGCCGCGCCGGGGATCCAGGAGGTGACCTGGCAGGAGGGAGCACTTCCCTCCTGCCGGTCACTGGAATTTTGCGGCCCCAGAGCCGGTGCGCCCTAAGGCGGCCGCCTGTGCCGCCTTATGGACGCGCCGGCCCTGATTCTGTCCACAACAACAGACTCACAAAGCAAACAAAATGAGGAATAAACAAGCAATTCTATTCATTTCGCGATTATAATAAAAACAAGATGATTGATGGACAAAAAGATGATTGATGGTTAGGGGAAATTATTTTTTTCAGATGTATCAATTCAATTCTATCAACTTTTTTTACTTCATATTGTTTGGGGATCATATATTGGATACATATTTATATATGGAATACTATTTATCCATATATTTCTCCTATACAGCTTTGTAAGTAATTTGGTTATCATGGGTATCTTTTTATAAATTGTTCTTATTAGTTTAATGTAATTAAGGTATGTATTAGTGGATTCCCCATTTATATCATGTATCAATAAAGATTTTACGAAGATTTTACATATTTATTTCCCTACTTTTTGTCTTATGTCATTTGAAACAAATTAATTTGTAATTTTCATTTTTTAAATGTAAATTGCTTTTTCATTAATATCTTTAATATTTTTTTTTCATGACTAAGTTTGATTTTTTTTGGTGCTTTTATTTTCATTATTATTATTATTATGTTAAAATAATATATTATTATTATTATTATTATTTTTATTATTATTACATTTATATAGCACCAACAAATTCCAAAGTGCTTTTCAATGGATGGACTAACAAACATGTCATTGTAACCAGACAAGTCTGACACACAGAAACAAAGGGGTTGAGGGCCCTGCTCAATGAACTTACATGCTAGAGGGAGTAGGGTAAAGGGATACAAAAGATAAGGGAAGTATTAGGGAAGTAGACTGGTAGAATAGTATTCAATGAAGACTTAGTGTGTTTTGTTTGTTTGTTTGTTTGTTTTTTAAAGGACAGTTGTAGGAGGTAAACCAGTTGTGATCCATTAACTGTTTAATTGATATGCTTTTGTGAAAAAGTGAGTTTTTATTGATTTTTTGAAGTAGTGGAGACTAGGTGGGACTAACGGAAGAGGGAAGGGAGTTCCACAGGAATGGTGCAGCCCCAGAGAAGTCTTGAATGCGAGCATCAGAGGTGGGAGTACAAACTGAGGATAGACGTAGGTCTTTGGCAAAACACAGGGGCTTAGACGGGACATACTTGTGTATTAGGGAGGATAGGTGGGAGCAGCAGTATGTAGAGATTTGAAAGCAAAAACTAGAAATTTACATTGAGCCCTATATTTTACTGGAAGCCAATACAGGGACTGAAGGAGGGGTGAGGTTTGGGAGGTGCGGCTGGACAGGAAGATGAGCCTCGCCATCGCATTCATTATGGACTGTAATGGGGCAAGTTGGGATCACATAAGACCACTGAGAACCAGATTGCAGTAATCAAAACGAGAGAGGACAGTGGCATGGACAAGCACCTTAGCCACATCTGACGTAAAGTAGGGGCGGATGCACACAATGTTTTTGATTTGGTGATTGACTAGACATGAGGGGTAAAGGAGATGGCGGAGTCAAAGAGAACTCCTAGGCAGCAAGCCTGCGTGGTGGAGCTGATGGTAGCCCCATTAACGTGGAGGGAGACAGGAACAAGAGTAGCAACACTTGAGGAAGGAAAGACCAGAAGTTCTGTTTTGGACAAGTTGAGCTTAAGGAAGTGGGCAGCCATCGTGTTGGAAATAGCAGAGTGGCAGTCAGAGACACTGGTCAAGAGGGGCGGGGAGAGATCAGATAGATTTGCGTGTCATCTGCATAGAAGTGATATTGGAAGCCAAAGGAGCTGATGAGTTTACCAAGGGAAGCAGTATAAATGGAGAACAGTAGGGGACCAAGGACTGAACCTTGGAGGGCATCAACAGAGAGGGGTTGGGTGGAAGAGGCAGAGCTAGAAAAATAAACATTAAAACAGCGCTGGGAGAGGTAGGAGGAGCACCAGGAGAAAGCAATATCTCATAGACTGAGATTATAGAGGATGATAAGAAGCTGTTGATGATCAACAGCAGTGGGAATGTCAAGGAGAATTAGGAAAGGATAGTGATTTTTGCAGTGAGTAGATTGTTTGGTACTTTGGCCAGAGCCGTTTCCACAGAGTGCTGAGCACATTGAAGTGGGTTGAGCAGAGAGCTAGACTCGAGGAAGTCAATCTCACATACACAAGTCTTTCAAGGATCTTGGACACAAAAGGCAGTAGCGAGATAGGGTGGTAGTTGGACGAGGAATTAGTGTCGAGGTTTTTTTTTTTTTTAGAATTGGGATTACAGTTGCATGTTTGAAGACTGATGGAAATATGCCAGAGGAGCCAGAGATATTGAGAATTTTAGCGAGAGGCGAAGCAAGAGAAAGAGACAGAGTATGGATGAGGTGTGAGGGAATAGGATCAAGGGAGCAGGTGGTGGGGCGGGAGCAGAAACCTCTTCCACTGTAGCAGGTGCAAATGAACATAGAACAGCAGAGGGAGTGCGATTGAGGGAAGTATTGTAAGGGGAAGGAGAGAGATGAGAGGTATCTTCCCTGATTGTAGAGATCTTGTCTGTGAAGTGACTTTCAAAGTTTGTGGCAGTAAAGCCAGTAGGAGGAGCTACAGGGAGGAGTGGAATTGTACAAGGAGATTGCAGAGCTAGGGCAGATGAGGTTTGAGATAGGTAAAAGGAGAGTTTGAAAATTAGTGGAGAATTGCTCTAGGTCAAGACATTAGAGGTTTCTGTGAGACTGAAGGGTGGTGTCAAGGGTGGTGTCAGTTACAAACAGTGTACAGGGGTAGAATAAAACAATTAAAATGGTACTTTCCAAGTGGAGTTTCACAAGGTTGATTGCAATACTGCAACAACAAATAAAAAGAAGAAAGGATCTAGTACTCACAATGTTCCAGGGCAGTATATTTATTAATGGGTTCCTAATAAGGAGCTGTCTTGAGACATCATAAGACACAGATTTTTTGTTTTGTATTTGTTAGTGTTCAGGGCATGCATACACATATCAGAAAATTGTCATATTCTTTCTACTCAAGGAGCACCTGTCCTTATATGCAACAGTCTACAGTAGGTTAAAAGAGGGGGTTAGGAAAGGACTAATGGACAGTCTCCATAAATCTAAATTAAAATTGTGGAAAAAAAAGGTGTTACTTATCTTTTCTTCCCGCGCCGAGATCGAGCCCTGCATCTGCTCATCCTGTATGCCCAAACGGTCACATTAACACATCTAACAATCCAATGCTCCTCATAGAAAAGTATTCTACCTCACTCTAGGGCAAAAAAATGCCCTAGAGTGGAGTAGACATCCACTAGGGGCGTATTTAACCCTCAATTTAGCATTCTCATATCTACCAAATGGCAATGCTTTACATTGTAGGGTTAAAACTAAAGGACCACTGCACCCAGACCACTTTATTTAGATGTAGTGGTCTGGGTGCCTTTAGTGGTCCTCTTAGATTTTTTAGACTCTATAATTTGTCTATTGTACCGTTCTCTACTCTACAGCCTTCTGTGGATCTGTCTGTCATTAGTCCCTACTCAGTGGTCCTACAAGGCTAGGACATTTAAAATCCACGTGCTCTCACAAGTATGTAGTTGAGGGCAGCTGTCTTCTATGATCCATATTCCATTTTATTTTAATTCTATTCCCATTAAAATAGACAAATATTTAAAAGACTACTTATTGTATTTTCTTTTTGTGGACTTTCCAGCTACAAATCTGAATGTGACAGTGGTACCATAAATGTCTGGTGACACAAGGAAAGATAATCTTTTATAAGTCACTGAGGAACCACTTATGGGGGCTTATCCAAGTGCACAAGGCAAAATTAAGTATGAAAGGAAAGAAATCAGGCAACCTCTACATCTACATGTGAGAACTGTGCAAAATGTTATTTCATGGACTTTGAAAGACCATTTTAAAATGTTTTCATTACACAAACCAGATCTTACATTAGCATCCCTCTAAGCCATCACATTACATCCACTAATAGTGCAGTTAATTTTAAACTGGTAATGCATTGGATGTGCTTTAAATGTTAGCTGGTTTAGAATCAGTCCCCAAGCACACATTGAGAAAGCAAACAGTCTCCTCTGCACTGTCTAAGCAATGGAATGTCTAAGAGTTTTCTGCTCGGGAAGATCGGCGCAGAATGTCCTGCCTTGCCTCCTGTCAATTCTAAAGGCTGCCAAAGCTCCTTAATATTCAGAGAGTGAGATTTGCACAATTATCAAAGACAGAAGCTTGTTCCTGCTCAGTCAGGCAGAGCTATGTTCAGGAAAAAAATCTGCAGTCCATCTCCCGTGGGCTTTCAAAAGTCCCTCAAATAAATACACACGTCATCCAGGAAAAAAGGATGGATCTTAGCTTACTTATGCATTAGGAATTATAGAGTTCTTCTTTTGTTTGGTAGCATGGAGAAAGCTGTGCCTTCGCCATTATATGTACACATATGTAAACGTATTAATGTGCAAAGCACCATATAATGCAGAAAATGCAGCAAAATAAACAAATAAATAAAATAAAAAGAGATGAAAGCCTTCACCATATATACTAGAATGTTTCTGAGAAAAATCTGTTAATATGTCAATGCTTACTCAGAAAAATCATTGAGTAATGGCAATGCCTTTCAATAATTATTCATTTATGTAGAATCCTGCTTTGTTTTTCCTGCATATTCTAATGATTTTGTATTTTATTGAAGTTGTTTTGGTATGCATTAGGTTCTTACTGTCAAACTTTTGCCAGCAATGAGTTGCAACTGACTTCAATGGAGCCTTTGCAGGTATAACTCACTGCAAGTTGCCATCAACTCTTGAAGTTGAGTTTATGAGCTACGTAACCTTTATACTAATGGGGGCTTATTGCTCACAAACGCAGAAAAGTATGAGAATTGTATACTTTAATGGGGTCTCC